GAGATGTTCGTTTCCTCAGAAAGTTGGTCAGTGGTCTTTCGACGATTTTCATCAATTGCACGTTTGATTTTGGCAATGTTTTCGTCATTTCTTCCTGTCGAAGGACGCCCAGGGGCGGCATGTCTTCTGTTGACATGTTGCCAGATTTGAAACGGGAAAACCACTCGTAGACCTGTGATTTCCCCAAAGCATCATCATTAAACGCTTGCCGAAGCATCCCAACAGTCTCGGCTGCAGTTTTCCCTAACAGAAAGCAAAATTTCACGCACACTCTTTGTTCCTTCTGGTCGGCCATCTCACTAATTGCCAAAGGGTTGAAAAAGGAACGCACACAACAGAGCACCACAGACAAACCACTTAACTCAGACTGACGCCAGCTCACTAACAGTCGCGGGAGACCCCCAGCTAACACCCCCTAGCAGCACAACTCGTAACTACAAAGCATGCGCGCGCAACACGTCGGTTCCGGTTATTTTTGGGTCCCCCTTCTTACATACATATCCTCCACTTTCCATAAACATCTATACAGGGAACAGACCCAGGGTGCGGAAATAGTCATCAAACACATACACAAAGTAACACAAACCACACAACCAAGATCACCCACATTAACTGTCTAACACATACAACAATACGAGGCAAAAAATAATATCCTGATTAACAGACATAAGTCACTAGTAACAACAATACAACCCCTCACATCTCCCATACTAACTATATTAAAATGTGATGTTAAGCATTCAAATTTATGTACATTTGTAATTAAAATACTCATTTATGAACTTCCGCATTTCTTGTAAACAAATGCATGTTATTTATAGTGTGTGGCATTAAGGAATATATGTATTGCGAACACAAAGGCAGAATTTTCATTTCCTTGAAAGAGTCTCTACATGAATCTCTTTTCTTTAATCCCTTCATAATCCTTATAACTTTCTTTTGGATCATAAAAGTCTTGTCATGTATGAAGAACTGCCCCAGAACATAATTCCATATGTCATCACAGAATGTATATAAGCAAAATAAATCATTCTTAAGCTATTTAATATCATAGGCTTAACTCTTCTCATGATAAAGCAAGACGAACTCAATTTAGTAACAAGGTAATCAATTGGATTCTTCCAACACAGCCTATTATCAATATTTAGGCCTAAAAATTTGATACACTCTAAGTTAGTCGGTAAATTTTGATCAATATTGTTATTCATATTATGATCCTCATAGTTCATTAAAGTGAACTGGAGAGTGTGGGTTT